ACTGGCGGGTGCAGGAAGTGATCCTTAGCGAGACTGGGCCAGGGGCCACTGAGCAGATGGGGCCTCAGGGACCGGATGGGAGTCTGCAGGAGGCTTCTTAGAAGTGGTGCCATTTGCCGGGAAGACTGCAGAGGGGAGAGAGGTCTGTGTGACGCAGAAGTGCGGGGAAGCGGCGTCACAGGGCAGGCGTGTCGCAGGCTGAGGAAAGGGCAGAGGTGAAGTCGGGAGAGCACGTACCTCCCGGGAACTGCGAACAGCTCAGCACGGTGTGCCGCGGGCCGCAGAAAGGAGATGTGGCTAAGCAGACGCCTGTACCTTAACCACCCTGACGGCCGTGGAGCGCCACTGAGGGCGTTCAGTGGGAGCAGAAGCATCACGCCTGGTTTCTCAGAGGTGCTGGACCACAGGCAGTGGGGAAGCAGGTGGTGACAGACGCAGCGACAGAGGTGGTCCCAGAACCCACACAAGTGATGATGTGGGCCTGCACCAAGGCAGCGGCGATGAGAGAGGGAAGGATTGACTTTTACCAAGGAGAGCCCCGCGATGGGCCGAGAGGGATACGGATGCTAAGTGGGAAATGTCCCAGGTGAAGCCTCATGTTTGGGCCTTACAGTGATGATGGAGCTTGTCATCTAGGTAGGGATGAGGAGAGGCACATTTAGCAAAGGAACGGTGAATTCCGAGTGTCTGTGGTCGCCAGTGGAGATGGCCAGCACCCGGCCGGACGCGTGCGCCTAGAGCCCGGACAGGGAGCCATGAGCTGAATGGGTAGCGGGCCGTGGCTTGGGGTCACCGTCTGTGAGGCTGCGGGAAGCTCAGCAGGTGGACGACCAGAGTCTGGAAACAGCCTGTCTGGGCAGGGGCCGGGGGGAGGAGAAGTCCCGTAAAGACTGGCACCAGCCGCCACCTGAGGGCTGATTAAAAGTCATCTTCCGATTGGCTGCTCCATCCTCGTGGCTTCCCCTTGCCAGTCTCCCTTTCACACGGCCACTGATGTGATTCTGAGGTGAGCCGTCTATCTTTGTTACTGAGCGAACACAGCTCAGTACAGCTCTCCACAGCTCTCCACAGCTGCCAGTGTCAAACCCCAAATCACTGTGTGCTTAGCAACACCCCCTCCCTGATCAGCTGCCTTGCGATTTCCCATTTCTCAGGGCGCACCCGCCACACTTCTCTCACACAGCTCCAGGAGGTCTTTCCTGTCCAGGGCCGCAGTGTCCCCTCCACGTGGACGCTTGCTGCTTCCACCCCGGGACTGAGAGCCTTGTCCTCTGCATCCATCCAAATCCTGCCGTGCTTCTGTCGCCAAAACCCTGCACAGATCAGCCAGCAGCAGCGGCACTGTCCTCCCCGGCCCAGCAGTGTGGTCGGTCGCAGGGTTCCCAGATGCTCACCTGCTCCGGGCGCCTCTGCCTGTGCTCCCTGTGCCCGTACCAATCCGGCTAAGGAAAGGGATGTACCCTTCACTTCCGCGCCCCAGGGGATCCTGCAGTCTCAGCGAGGGCTTCTCCAGCAGGCTGGCTGCACCCTCAGGCCACGTGAGGAGCATGGGCAGTGGGCCAGCGAGCAGCTCAGCAGCTGCTGGACTGAGCTGGAAGGTGACGCAGGTAAAGACCTCGCTGGGGCAGATGAAATAGACTCGGTTACCCCCAGAAGCTTGAAATTAACGACTGCAGGCAAGTCATTGTACGTGTATACTAGTTACTGAATGACTTTCTGAACAAATAAACTGAGTGCTATGAAAAATATCTGAAAAGCAAGAGCTTTTACACAGACGATAGACATTTTAAATGAGAGAACACAACTTGAGGTTGCCTACAATAGAAAGATTCAGAAGCATTACAAGCAAACAAAAAGACACACATGAGCTGAGCGTCGTGGTGCACACCTGTAATCCTAGCACTTAGGAGGCTGAGGCAGGAGGACCACTAGGAGTTCGAGGCCAGCCTGAGCTACGTAGTGAGTTCAAGGCCAGCCCGCACCACAAAGTGAAACCCTGTCTCAAAAACAAAAACAAACAAAAATACACATGAAGCTTTCAGAAGGCGGAAGCCAAAGTTGTAAGTCTGGGTTAAAAAGTTGATTTGATTGATCCTTAAACCTAGCGCTAAATTTCCTGCCAGTCAAGGCAAAAAGAAAAAAAGTAGCATGATATAGAGATCTAAGGCAGAGGCCTCGGACTCTCAAGCCCAGACCCTTCATCAGCAGCTCCATATCCCCTGGCAAGCAGGCACCCTTGTGCGCACTGGTCATGAAGGAAAGCCCACACTCGGAAGGCAAGTTATGAGATAGCATCCACGGGGTACTTACTGCAAGACTGGCACACACGGTGGTGCTCTTCCTGCTGACAGGTGACCGTGGCAATTCTGTTCCGCGTGACAGAGCCTGTGGCTGTGTTTCCACAGCTGCAACCTCAGTGGCCACCCAAGGCTATCCCAGGCCCAGAGTACTAGTGCTAAGTAGTAAACTGCTGACAGAGAGAAGAAAGCAAACCTTCCCTGAGGAACGGCCAGCTCCATGAATGCACACAGCACAGGTGGCTTCCTCAGCGGTGGCTTGCAGAGGCACTCTCTGTGTGGCCTATGGAGGAGTCCCTACCCGGTGATTTACAATGTGAGGACTCAGGATGAAACACAGCCCAGTGACGGTGTTCAGCAGGGCGAAGCTAATGAGGGTTAGGTAAAAATGAGGTTCAGGCAGATAATGAGGTTTAGGTATACAAATGAGAGGGCACAGTGAGCACAGGGTAAACAGGGAGTATGCCGCTTGCTGTCCAGCAGACCATGCAAGACAAAGGGCCCTGCAGGAGCCCAGGGGCTGGCAGCCTGCACGGGGCTTCAGACCTGCGGGGGGAGACCAAGCTAGGAGCAGGGGGTCCTGACAGTGCAGGCGATACCTGCAGTGCTGACAGGAGCTACGGTGTTTCATGCACTGAAGCTTGGGCTGGCACCTGGTGCAGTCGGGAAAGACACTGGGGTGTGTCTGCAGCCAGCCACCAGAGGAGCCACACGTGGGCCCTTGGAGTCCAGGGGCAGGATGTGCCTCTACTGCAGAGCATTACGTTCCTGCTCAAAGCCGCCACAGTGCTTATGCAAGGGCCAGATGTGCCCGCTGTCTGCAGCGGGGACCAAGGGGCGGGTCTGCCGAGCTCAGCAGAAACCCACTGTCGGACGGAGGTGGGACGCTGGATCAGCACGGGCGGGGCCAGAGGACACAGGTGAGCCGCGGGCACAGCTGTGCCAAACACCGTGTCACCTCCTCTGCTGCACCAGAACCTCCTCCCCAGCTCATGCCGCTGCCACATGTTGGCGGGTTCCTGCCGACCAAGTGACAGAACGCAAAGGTCAAACGTGGTGTGTGGATGGATTTGCGGAAAGGGATCCTGGCCGCACTCTTTTCAGGGGGAACTCGTGGAGGACAGCATGGAGAAAATCAATTCTCAGGGGCAGAGCTGGGTGCTGTACTCGGTTGTCTGCTCTTAAGGAAGGAGATATAGTAAGACACGGCATATGGACTTGCTGGGTGTGGTCAACAGCGTGGCTGGCTGGTCAGAGACTGGGAAAGAGGGGACAAAGAAACCGAGAGGCAGGCGGACACAGCTGAAGGAACGGAGGAAGTGCGGTGATTTTGTTTTACAGACCAGTGCCTACCACGGACACGCATCACAGAAAAGGCACCGAACAGGAGGCAGGCAGAGTGACCCAGCAACTCCATCACTGGTCGCCCAGGGCGGGCACACAGAGTAGCCATGGTGGCAGGAAGGAGGCTGTGTGTGGGCCACACTCAGGCAGGCAGATGTAGCTGCTGTCACTGTGGAGCATCCAACCTGCCCTCAACAGAGCCCAACCTGCCCCCATTCTTGAGCAGGACACACAGCCACCTCTTGCCAGGTAGGCTGCTGGCCCTTTCACCCCGGAGAGATCCGTGTGACAGACCGAATCATGACCCCCACATTCCTATGGTAGAGCCCTGCCCCACAACACGACTATTTCAAACAAGGGTTTCTAAGCAGGTAATTAAGATTGCATAAGGTTCTAAGGTGGGCCCTAACCCTACAGGACTGGGGGCCTTGAAGGGCTGTGCCGGAGCTCAGAACACAGTAATACAAAATATGGTGCTTTGTACCAAGGGACTCTGAACTGAAGGACACAGAAAGGCCTCAGCAGCAAGGTCTCTGATCACCCTTCACCTGGTCTCTTGTCTTCCCTCTGAATTGTTCTTCCCCAAGACAGGTGACCGAATAGGACCCCTTTCTCACAAAGCAGGCCATCAAGCCTACAAAGGTCACTTTCTCCCCGCTCCTTTGGTGACGCTCAGTCCCCAGGGACCTGTCCTGTATCTAGGAGGAAGGAGTGCTACACAGAGGAGACAAGAAGAATCTGAGTAGACAGGACCTGCTGTGTCCTGGAGGCATCCAAGGAAGATCAGGCCTGAGGTTTTGGCCTAGGCATAGTAACCCTTCTTCCCTGCCTCCCTTGAAAGACAAGGGTTGTATCACGTTTTTGCACATTGTGGTATTTGCAGATAAATATGCAATACTTCATTACAAGCTAAGAAAACATGGCCTTTATCTGATTTATTCATTGGTTGTTCTCTGAAAAACTGTCTTACCTTCATATTCTCTTTCTTTCAAGCAAGGAAAATCATGAAGCTTCACACTTTATATGCATTTTAACAGGAAGACACTGTGGTTTTTACAAGATTATAAACACAGATAAATATCCTATCACGTTAACTGGGTTGGTGTTTCTCTGAGAAATAATGCTTCTCTAATATAAGTGGAACAAGAATGTCCAGTCTGACCAACAGTTCAGCTGCAACTGATGTTTTTGCCCTTTAAAAACAACCAACAGCAGCCACCACCAGAGACCTACTTTCTGTCTGGAAAGATCAAATCCACATCACGAAGCACAGGGATAACACACCGTCCCTATCACACTTGCATCACAGCAGGAAAACTCCCTAGGCCCACGGCTTCACTGTACGCCTTGCGCTGTTACCTGCTGCTGTCTCTGCCGCCTCGCCTGTGCGAACTGAGAGAGCATCAGCTGCCGGTCGAGCTGCTCCATCCTCTGCTGCCTCTGGATGTCCACGGTGGCTCCCATCCCGACTCTGGCCTCACTGCTGGGCTCTGAGGAGGAGAAGATGGGCTCGAGTGTCCAGGAGAAGAACTGGGCCATCCAGCTGGGGACGCAGAGCACCTGGTGAACTTGGAACATTTTGCTGTCATAGCACAGACCGGAGATCTAAAAGAAAAAAGTCCAGCTGAACTGTTTAGATGTAATACAGGTTTAAAGAGTATATTCAACATAGAAGCCAGTAACTGCAAAACATCCCAGACGGTATTTCTCTTAGTCTTAGCAGTGTTAGGTGAAAAGCAAAATCTCTGACCAAGTTACAGAATACTATGCAGTAACAACCAACAAAAATTTAATTTGCACAGTGAAATAAAACTGTTTTTATTAAATAAGGAGATTACAAAACCCTAGACATTTAACGAAGTACAGGTAAAATAATTAAAAAAAAAAATGTCTTCATCTTTTTTTAAAAAAGCCGTAAGTGATCTGATAGCCAAACGATACCAACTGTACTCTGCGGCTGCTCCCCTGGCGGAGGCCAGAGACACAGCCGCAGAAAACTGCCCTAACGGCCACTTATCCCAACCCACCGCATGATACATTCATTAGAAACCAGAGATGGCTAAACCCCTGGCTTTTCTTCACATGATGTCTTAATCGGTTCTTCAAGTACTATACTGAGTTTTCTAGATGTTTAATTCCTCATCAATATTAGCAGCTAATAATTCTTTTTACAAAGATATTTTTATCTTTAAGGAAATTTGTATGAAGAGTCTCAAGACACCCTGTGGTTTTGCAGGTAAAAATAACTACGGCTATGCCTTTGTAAAAGAATCTTTAATTCTTAGGATAAGAAGTTATTTATACCAAATAAAAGCACTTAACAACTTTCTGCCTAATCTGGGAAAAGCACAGTTTAATGTTTTATTAATGCAATTTGAATGAATCAAGGCAAGGATTTATTGAGCCCCTGTACCGCAAATACTGCAGAGAGAAGATAATAAAGCCCCCGGTTCCCCCAGAAGTAACAGTGGTCAATCCAGAGAAAGGACAGTTAACAAGTGAATGCACAGAACAAGCTCAGACAAGATCTGTGCAGGAACTTGGAACAGGAACCCGCTTTAGGAGGGGTGGTGAGGGAAGCCCTTTGTTCAAGCGATACTTGAACAAAGGTCTTATGGATGATGGGGTGCCAGGGAATGATGAATCAACAAGACTGCGGGAGAGAAAACAGCCAATGCCGTGGAAGAGTCGGCTTGGGAGAATCTATCAGGCGTTTTACGGAGCTATCGAATAGACAGCTGGATACACAAATCTGGAACCCAAGGGGACAGTTAGGCAGAGGTAAGGACTTGGAAGTCTCTGGATATACCATGGCACGTAGGCCAAGGGGATCAGATAAGATGACATGGGGGTGGAGGACGTATCATAGAAGAGACGACAGGAGAATGAACCCAGCTGTACGCCAGCTCATACTGTGTGGACGACACAGTAGCGATGCCCGTGAAGAACTCTGAGAAGAGGCTGCCAGGGAACGGGAGGGACAGGAACAAAACTCGGAGGGTTTAGTAACAGTGAAGCAGGGCGAACACTGTTTGTGGAGAGGAACACAAGTTCTGTCTCACTCAGGTTATAGTCGAGCAAGGTGGAGAGAGAGCCCACAGCATGCAGGGCTCTGAGGACTTTATCAGAGGGTCTGGGGCAGCTGCAGGCACAAAAGACAGATGGTAATAAGTGGAAGAGCTTGCAGAGTGGAGGGCTTTGGCTTCAAATAATTTCTGTGTTGCTCTTCTATAAAACAAAGAAAGGAAAACAGAAACAAACTCAACGTTTGGTACAACTCCAAAGCATCTGTACTCTACCTCCCGAGCGGGGAGGATGAATGCAGACGGTGCAGAGGCTTGGGGACCTGAGCCAGGGGCTGCAGGGGGCACAGAAGGAAGCAGCCCGCTTTCCCTAGAGCCAGCGTGGCCTCGGAGCCACTGTTCCTCCCACGGCGACATGGAGGGAGGCTGCAGGGCAGGGCCAGGAGGGTCTGAGCCGGAGGAGGAGGCACACGGAGCCCACAGGAAGAGGGGCACATGGGGGAGAGAGAGACTGCAACAGAGCCAATGACAGCCAAGGGTTTCCAGAGCTAATAAGGACATAAAACACTCGTCTCCTAGGATTGGATAAAAAAACTGTGGTGCTTTTATATAATGGAATATTATTCAGCTGTAAAGAAAGATAAACTCGAGGCTTTTATAGGTAAATGGTCACAACTAGAGACCATACTCATAAGTGAAATAAATCAGACCTGCATGTGTAAGCACCGCATTGTCTCACTAGTGTAAGACCTGAAAGAGTGAATAAAAACTAGGAGCTATGAAAGACATTGTGCAGTGAAAGGAAAATGCTCAGAAGTAAAGGGCAACAGGGGTGTGGGAAAACAGAAGGAAAAGAAGGGGAATTATGTAAGTATGTATATACAGGATAGCTAACACAGTTGAACTACTGTCTTGTATTGCTTTGCTAAAAGAAACAGTTAATGATTACTTGACTGATCAATACTGCATGTCTCTATTAGTTTTCCTGAGAAACCACCTTAAAGACATGAATATGTAATACAACAAGCATTGTTAATTTCCTACCATTTTGTTTGTAATTCTATATTGTCTGTATTGTTCTTTTGCTATTTTGTAAATGTTGGTCTGTTTGTTTATATATTTTCCTTCTTTTATTTTTATTTTTATTTTTTTTTTAATTTTTAAATTTTTTTTGGTTTTTCTCCAGTACCGGGAACCGAACTCACGACCTTGCGCTTGCCAGGCAGGCGCTTTGCCGCTGAGCTAAATCCCCAGCCCTTCCTTCTTTTATTTTAAAAAAAAAAAACAAAAAACACTTGTCTCCAGAAGGACACTAACATGAAATTTACTTCTAGACACATTGCAGTGAGATAAAAAAGAATCCTTATAAGCAACCAGACATAAAATGCAGACTCTTTGGAAAGGGAAGAAAACCCAAAAACTATTCGCAGATAATAGCAACAAAAAAGATACTAGAATTAAACAAACAGAAGATTATAGAAACCTTGATAAAGAAAAACTTACAAAAATATAGAAAGGAGTATTAAAAAAAATACCCTAGTAATAAGTACAGATACCACTATCCATGAATGGGAAGATGCAAAGTTGTTAAGATACTAATTTTCACCAAACTCATAAAAATTCAATGTATTTCAAAATACAATCATAACAATATTTTGCTGGAATATAAATGCCAATCCTCAAATTTATGTGGACTATTTGAGGTTTATATTTTAAAAAAATGTATGCAGAAGAAGGTATAAGAGACTGCACTGATTATGGCTATTTTTGTAAGTGGAGCGATCTCTGCATGAAGTGGTCAGACACTAAAGTGAAGCTCAGAGACAGTGACCACACATGCAGGAGCAGAAGCAGGAGGAGAGAGCTCACTGTCCAAGCTTCTGGTACACAGCATAACCTCGAGTTGTCACACAAAGTGCTACTGTAGCACGCTGCAGACATTCATAAAGAATTAAAACATACAGAGCTTAAAAATTTAGTTTCCCACAAACACACCACTCTATTTCATGACAGGATGGGTTAAGAATAACTGCATTAAAATTTTACCAAAAGTACCACTCATTATCATGTTACCTTACATTTATACACTACTTTTAACTTTAATTTTCATTATCTCATAATCCATTCTTATATTGAGACTTTTGAATAACATCATTTTCTTGAAATCTCATTTAAAAAAAAAAAAAAAAAAAACCACAGGATTTAAAACTAGCCCATGGTTAGGAATAAAAGCTCAGCAGTAGAGCACCTGTCAAGCATGGATGAGGAGCTGCGTTCAATCCCTAGCACTGCAAAACACAAAACAGAAAAACAAAACATAACAAACCATGTACTGGGGTTTTCATGTCAACAGGGCAGGGGAACTAACCAAAGGAACTATGACCCTCCCCAGATAAGGAAGCAGGCAAGAGATGACCAGATAAAGCAAAAGGAACAAACGGGCTGTCTGAGAAGGCCAGTGAGGGCTGGAACCACAGCACTCAGATGCAGGAATCAAAAACATTAGTTAGGAAAAGGGACACACAGGTTAGGAAACCAGAGAACATCCTGGCTCACATCTTGTTGACAGGATAGGCTAAAGACCCAGGTCGTGGCTCTGGGCCAGAAGCAGGGATGCCCCACATGCCAATGGTGACAGCTATTCCTTCATAAAGCTAATAGGAAAAAATCAAACAAATGAGAACAAATAATTTTCTTGTAAGCCACTAGTAAACATGGACATAACTGTACACTTACACAGGTTTCCCAGACTATAAAGAATTCACTGAGTGCAAAATGAGCAAATACTCCTGAGTGCAGAGAGCCAACCTCAACTGTCCCTTGTAACCACAGCAGGCAAAGTGTGAAACCATGACCTGGCAATGACACCCAGGTGCGCAGCTCCTTCTCCAGCCAGCAGTGGCTGAACAAAGCCCCAGTGGGTGTACTGCACCGCTGGAATCCCTGTGGACCACAGTCCCTACACTCAAGAAACTTACCATCTAAAGGGACAACTGGACAGATACGAGGGGCTGCTTTCCTGGAAAATGGCACTGTCTCCACATGATGGAAACAAGCCAAGGGAATCAATGTCTTCTTATACCTGGGCTCCAGCACACAGACTCTGTGTGCAATCAAAGCCTCAGGAAAACAGACAAACTGAGGCTCCTTTAGTCATCC